TGTCCCACCTTCAGGGCTGTAGCGTCCTTGAACTCACACCACACACACAACACCACAACACGGACACGGCAATCAACACAACAGAAGTTTGCAAATCTGCTGACCACAGAATTGCTTCGCATGGTTTGTTGCCTGTGTTGTGCATGAATAACTACCGTTTGGGTGATACATCTCGAACTACGTAGGCTCCGCACAAATAGATTGGAGCATTGTCCCCCCCCCCCCCCCCCCCCCCCAAAAAAAAAGAAAAAAGAAAACAAAGATATGGATTGATCAGCTGGCAGGAGGGACCTTCTGGATCCGATCTTTTGATTTTAGACTTGAAGCCTCATGACCCTGCCTTCCCTGAAAAAAAAAAAAGTAATAATATTAAAAAAACGAACTATGCAGGCTACTTGAGATAGCTTTCCACATAAGTCACTGAGCAGGTGAGAGAATGGCATGGTAGGTATGGATAGAGGATAACCTGTGGCACAGCCAGTGTTACTCCAGACACAGTCAGGTCTCAAATGGCACTCTTGCTGATCATAAATCTCAGTACAATAATCTGTGAAGGAAAGATCACAGGAAAAAGAGGCCCCAAAACACACATGTTAACTGAGGAAATAGGAGGCGAGATGGATGGGGCATTGAAGGTCATCAACTTCATAATCTGGCATGAAATCTAGAAAGAACACAACATAATTAGGGGGGTGACTTTGATTTTCTCATGTCCTTGGATTGCCTTGGCAAGCCATTTGTTTGTTTGTTTGTCTTTTGGGAACATGCTCCAATCTATTCCTGGGGAGCAGCACGTGCTGGGAACCGGGCCCAGCGTCCCATTCAAGATCATATTGAAAAATTGAGAAATTTATGGAGAAATCCTTGAGATACCGGGGCCATTACCCGGCTTCGGCTAAGAAAGACAACTGTGTAATCTACACAAGAACACTAAAATTCTCTATCCCCCAAAGCTCAGATCACAGGAGCATTCAGAATGAAAAAAGCACCTGCCTTAGGGCCATTCAGCAGCCAACCCTACCTGCCTCACCCCTATATTCCGACGCCCAATCTCTACCAGGCCTCATGCCCCCAACTGCTAGGTTACAGAGTGGCACGACCCACCCCAGAAACCCCCCACCTGCTAGGCCACAGGGCGAAGCGACCCGCCCCAACTCCGGCCAGCATCGACTAGGCACCAGCTCACCAAAAGACGATAGAGTGCCTTCCACCCTCGACAACTCCCCAGATCTCTCTACCAGGACTCATGCCCTCGTACAACTTGAGTTACGGGGCAGCACAGCCAAGCCCCAGCACCGACCAGGGTCGTTCTGGCCTTGTCTATTCACAAACCACTGGGACTCAGGACTAAGGCAAATACTAGTCAAGCCACCAATCAGCACCATAGCTGTAGAATCGTGTAGATCCCATCATTCATCTTCTTCTTTTTTTTATTGAACTATTAAAGGAGTTCAGGAAAATTTTGGGGAAACCATGGATAACTGCTGACCAATTGCTAGGCTACTCACACAGCAATTACTAAGTCAAAAAGGAGAGCCACATAAGTCCTTTGAATGCTCAGAACCCCTTGAATCCCTAACAAACCCTCTAAAATTCTCGAACACCATCTTATTCCCTGCCGAGCTCTCCCAGGCCTCATGCCCCCACCCTGCTAGGTTACAGGGCAACACGACTCACCCCGGCTCCGGCCAGCGTCGTCCCCAGAGCAACCCTTGGTTTTCCCTTGGAATGCCCGCCCCAAGGCATCCCCAGATCTCTCTACCAGGCGTCACGCTCCCGCTATCAACAGGTTACAGGGCAGCTCCCCAGCACTGGCCAGCGTCGTTCTGGCATCGAAAAACCGCAAATCCATGAATATAACAGCATCAAAGAAGCCTAAAGTGAATTGCAAGAAGTACTCATAATCCTAATGCATTCTCAAGACCACCAAAAGCAACCGAGAATGACAAAATTGTTTGTGAAAATTGTGAACCAATTAGGATAATTTGGAACCCGGTGTAATCAAAACCACGTTACCCAGTGTTATTCAACCGACCATCCTACAACTGCCTCAACCCACCTATCCTCGATGCCAAGCTCGACCAGGCCTCACGCCCCCAACCGCTGGGTTACAGGCAGGTGCGACCCACCCCAACTCCGACCCGCGACGTCTGAGTAGCAGCTCACAGTTAGCCACTGGATTGCCTTCCAACCTCGACAATTCCCCAGATCTCTCTACCAGGCCTCAAACCCCCACATAACTTAGGTTATAGGGCAGCACAACCAAGCCCAGCTCCGACCAGCATCGTTCTGGCATCGGCCAACCTTGAACTCGTGGATATGATGGTGAAACCTGCCGTAGGACGATCCGCTGAATCCACCACCGCAACCAAGGTTTCAAAATATTTGGCTCCCCTCATGCACTGGTCGTGCTTGACATACCCAGACCACCTAAACCTTCTCCCTAATCTCCACTCCGGCAAGACTTATGACGGTGGACCCACCATCTCCATCGCTGTCGTGCCCTATTTTCGTCCTACCAACTAGGCCCCTCGCCAGCAGGACACATCATATCCTTCCAACTACTCACCCCACTTAGCCAAAAGGCACTCACCCCTACCTATGCGACCCCAACATGGAGGGGTAAGCTGGAGAGGAAAAAAACCACCATCCAAATCCAAGTATATCAAACACAATCAACACAAAAACAAGGTACTAGAATACAACTCTGCAGGGCGAAATTCCGACACTTACGAATTTGGGGTTTTCAACTCGATTATAAGATCAATATCCATACACAGAAATTGCTTCAGGAAAAGCAAAACTTAGATAAAAACAGAATTCTACTATTTGAAATCGCAGATTATGACATCAGAAGTACAAAACATCAAATTGTGCAGCTGAAATTTGGAAAACAAGATTAGGAGATTAATTTTGATGTCCAAATAGACTTACGAATCTTATGACTATGGTTTTCAAATCCAAGGATAAAAAAAGTAGCTCAGGAAATTTACCAGATGTTGTAATCTTAAGACTAATTTAGATGGTTATACGAGTACAAAACAAAGTAGTCGATTGTAAACTTTGACCATCAATCTACGAAAAAAACAAATTACAAATTGAGAATCAAACAAAAATCAGATTTATAGATAATCCGTCGGATGTTGAGATCGGCAACATTCCATTCACCATCTAAGAAAATATCAGGAAATAGACTACGTTTCGATTTACAAAACACCAATGAGACATCCCTAACTGTCTTCTGTGTTTAATCTATAGAAGGAGCCACTCCTCCTCCCCACAGTTGGTGCTAGTATAGCCCTACGGCAAAGTGCACCAACCAGAAGAGAATAGTGGGACGCCCCCGCCTCCCTGTTACTCCCCGAACGCGGTTGCGTTGTGAATGACCATGCCAAGCCAGTCAACAGAGCTTCACAGAGAATTCAGTCCAAATCCAACGACCCATGACAGCAAAGAACCGGAGAAGCGAGAGACATAGATTAAACACAGAAGACAGAAAGAGTGGCGTCATGACCCTATGCCACGTGGCACCCCCCCCACACGGCTACTCAAACCACACGCCCCTCCTGTCTCCACATCCACGAAAGTCTCTAAGACCATCGCCACACACGATATTGACCCCCTGTGCCCTCGTGAAAGCGCCATCGCAGCTTCGCGTCTCAACACGCGTTAGTGCACCCGTCGTTTCGGCCCGGGCGGGCGCAGCACTCCCGATAGTCAATTGGTCAAAGTCTTGCTCTGGCATTGGAGAACAGGCAAACGACGACATGCTTTTCGTCAATTGCATCCGAGCTACCAGTTTTACTTTGGGTAACCCCATGCCACCACTTCTTCCTCAACGCCTTGACCTTTTCAAAATTTCCAGTATTTCACCTTTTAGTTGTGTTGAAAGGATCAACAAATCTCAGACTTCCCTGTCCCAGTCCGAAAGTCTGAGTTTCCTATTCTACCATATTCCAATCCGGCAGGACCGTACGGCTTAGGCCCTAGGTTAGAATTCAGGCTGTACCGCAAGTCTGTAATGCTTAGGTCCGTACAACCCTTAGTCCTGGTAGTCCGTCTGTCTATCACTCTGTCTGCAGCTCAGCCCGGAGGCCAACAGCAGCCGCAAGCAGCAGGTCTAAACGCCAAAGTTCTTGACCGAAGGCAAGTACAGAAGTCCACCAGGGCCAAACGTCAACAAGAATTGTCATTCATGCTTGATGCGGAAGCGCTGTTGCGGTCTTGTCTGTTGGAGTGACGGATGAGAGCAGAGAGTAGTGCTAGTGTAATTGAGGACGTACGGCACCCATAGCGATCGCTTGAGAGAGAGAGAGAGAGAGAGAGAGAGAGAGAGAGAGAGAGAGAGAGAGAGAGAGAGAGAGAGAGAGAGAGAG